ATAATTTTTCCTCATATCATAATGGGTTACCAAAAGAAAACTTTTGTTAAAAAAGCTATTGCAAAAACAAATTATCCCAACTACTCAACAACCCGCTCCCTTAAAGCTTGCGATTGCATTAATTGTAATGGTAAACTTGTTGATCCACATACTAGGAAAGCCCATATGATGAAAAAGAACATTACCAGCATAACAAGAAATTATCGTGATGCAGGTGAAACATCAAGTAGAGCAACTGTTACCTCTACAAATGCGCTTCCAGAAATAGATATTCCTGAAAACCTTTTGCTAATGGATATTTATGAAGAGCTAATGCAGATTGATAGCTCAGACAATGATTCTGCTGTTTCTAATGATTCTTCTGTTTCTTCATATTAAAATGATTTTAGTTTCATTACTAAAAAAGCTAAAAAAAGCAAGAAACCGGTTGGAAACGGGAGAAGGAGGAGCTCACAATGACAAATCAGGTATTAGATTTTGGTACGCACATAATTTCTTTCTCGAATAAGCCATACACTTCGTGATATTAATCAATCCGTTCATGATATTAAAGATTTTGCCATAGTAATAATGCAGACTATTTCTAATTATATACTATATATACTGTATGTACTGTACGTACTGTACATGAAAAAAATTGGGCTATCATATAAACAGCACATCACTAACTGTATGATAAAATTTCTGCTTCACTGATCACTTCTGCCAGCCATTTAAATGCTGGAAATGAATTATACATACTGCACTACTGTTATGGTTTCTTTATAGTTTGTGTTAGGCTGTGTAAGGCTAAAATGTAAAAAATTTTCAGCAGCTTTACCTAATAAAATGAAGTGAAACAAAGCCTTCTAATCAAATAATAAAGTAGAATAGTTAATTTCAACTATTACTAACAATTGAATTTCTCTTAACTGTTAGCAAATAGCAATATTTACTAGAAAGTTATCGGGTATTATTGGCTTTTTTATTGGGCCCAAATCTAACCCGATATTTTAGTGGGCCTAGCCCAAGCCCGGCTTAAATAATAATGGGCTCAAAAATTTAAGCCCGAACTGGCCCAAGCCCGGCCCAATTTACAAATTTTCGGGTTTAGCCCGGCTTATTCCGTCTCCTAGAGAGCACCAATCTTCAATATAAGTTCATGCGGAGGAAGACCTTGAGGTATTAAAGAATTAAGATATTCAACTGGATATAGATTTAGATTGTCTTCTGGTACTAAGTCAAAGCTATAGTATATGTGTTGTTCTCCAGGATACTTGACCATTATTTTCTCATTAATTTTATCAACATCACTATTTAACGGTGTTAGTATTGCTCTCTCTGTTATGAAGGTAGTGTTCGAGGTATTTTCAGTAAGATTTAAGTATACGGTATTTATTAGAGAGTCAATAGAATTTTTGTTATTCCATGGATGAATGATCATTTCATCACGAAGTCGAATCAGATCATTTTCTATAGTGGGCTCAGTATCATTGCCAATTCTGAGTAAGTATTCTGCGAAAGTTCTTGCCTCATCATTGGTGGGAGAAACTTGCATATTAGCATATAAGTGGAAGACTTGAACATGTTGCTACAGAAGGAACTTGTTAAGTGTGGTATTGACTATTTGAACTCTAGTACCTTTAGAAATTATAGGCAAAACCTGTCAAAAATCCTCTCTAAATAGAAATATTTTTCTACCAAATGGAAGATTATTTTCTATAATATCTCTTAATGTTTTGTCTACAGCTTCAGGGCATTACGATTTGTCATAGGAGCTTCATCCCAGATTACCAAGACAGCTTCTTTAAGTAATTTTGCTAGATTAGTTCCCTTTCTGATATTACAGGTTCCGTTTGTCATAGTAATTGGTGTCCACTACGCAATAACACTGCGGCAATGCTTGAAGAGGCTACTGCCAATGCAATTTGATGGTTGGATCTTACATAAGCAAGTAGACATTTGTAGAGATATGTTTTTCCACTTTTAGCAGGGCCATCAACGAACAGTACACCTCCTTTACCTCTATTTATAAGATCTAGCACTTTATCGAATACTGCACGTTGAGCTTCATTTAACGTATTTGCTTTAGCGAGGTCTTCTTGAGTAACCTGATAAGACAACTTTTCCAAAATTGTTTTTGGTAATTCAGCAGTATTCATTTCTGACAATAATTCTGGTAAGTTATAATTGTTTATTGTTTTCATATGTCTTTGTAAAAATATATTCAGACTTTGAAGAACTGCCTGAATCTGATGTTGGCCTTCTGGAATTCCTCAGTGTGCAAAATCTTCTGCTATTGCATCAAAGTTCTCATTCCATAGTTGCCGCACATCTGCAATATCACCAAAGACTAATAATGTTGCAAATAGATCATGTAATTGTTTAGGCATTCGAAATTCCCTTGCTTTAGTCATGCATTGTCAGTGTTCATTATCATTCTTCAGGAAACCTCAGAGCTGTGCACTTTCTTTGAAAGTAGCACATGTAATGCCATTAACTATTTTGAGTTCTTCAAAACCTTTAGCTCCTTTCACCTTTGTTAAAAGCAAACGTAGATAGTATCGTTCACCTAAATAGAAGAATATTGTGTAGTGGGTATTAATTATTTTATTAAATTTATTTTAACTTATATTTTAATAATTTATTTGATTTATTTTATTTTTTATTAATTAATAATAAATGGATAATTTTATAAACCTTCACTTGGATAAGCCATGTATATTCTACCAATACAACTTCTGCGTTTGCACTTTTTCCATGCTTTAGTCGCCTTATTCCATGTGTAGTGCAAAGGAAAATCAGCATAGAGAAGATCTTTCGCGTCTGGGTCCTGTGCATTCATTTTGAAGTACTCAGTAAGAGTTGTTCACCAATTTCGGTCAGCTTCAATAACTTCCTCTAGATCGTCGTCATCATTAAAATTAATTCTTTGTTGGTCACGAAGATGTATCTGTAAACGTATAACAGCTAGATTCATTCTATTTATATTAAATTCTAAGATTCTTCAGGCAGCTTCCAGAGCTGATATCCATCGTGCTTCAACAAAATTTTGAATCTCATCGATTACAACTGATGGATGTTGAACATTATTATGTTTGTTAGTTACTTCAATCATTGCTTTGTCGTGGCCCTTATAAACATACTTAAATAAATATTTTATTGCTTTAATGCTAGCACAGATTTCCACATTGATATGGCAGCTGTATTTCGCACAAAGGAATCTATTGTATGGAACAACCCATTGATTATCCAAGTAAATTGTTTGATTTCTTACTTTCACCTCAACTTGACGACCATCTTGTTGGCGGCAGTATATAGAGTATGAATTTTTTCCTTGTAAGGTCTCACTCTGAAATGGTTTAGGAAATCCTTTTGTGCATTGTTTGTACTCCATACCATCATCAACCATGCATGGAGCATTAGGATTGAGCTCTCCATATGGTCCATGAATCATGCTAGAAGCAACTATGGCATATATAATAGGATTAACTGTTGGATCAGGTATCTCAGCGCTGACAATGGTATCATAGTCTTTAGGTGTTTTAGGCTTATCTTCTGAATGGAGTATAACTAAAATGTGCGCATGTGGAAGACCTCGCTTCTGAAATTCAATAATGTAAACATGTGCAATTGCACGTTCAAGGATCCCACATTCAAAAAGATTTTTCTTTAATTCCTGAAGTTTCATACGAAAAATCTATGCTACAGAAGTAAAAAAAAATTAGTAAAAGGAATCAACATGATAAAATAGGCTGCCATCAATAGAATAAGGCAGATTGACATTTTTAAAAAATTAATTTCTTACTTTTATAGCTCATATCTTGAATTTTGAAGTTATCTTAATAAATTAATATCTAGACTTTCTTTGACTACTAATTTATCAAGATAACTTCAAAATTTATATTATAGATTATGAAGTTAAGGTAATTTTTTTTAAAACGTCAATCTGCCTTATGATATATATCAAATACACCTGTGATATCTAGTTGGTCTTAAGATTTTTGTCCAGGCAACATTAGTGCTTGAATTTTATACCAATTTGGGTTGCATATCATAGTAACGAATAAATCAGGTTTGCCAATACGTAATAAGGCCATTGCATCCTATTATCGCTGTATTATATCTCGAGAACCTCTGATAAATGTTGATGGAAGAACTATTCTCCGACTGACTTGTTTTGGATTACTATCACCACGCAAAACGGCGTCTTGAAGGCCTTTATATAATTCACTTCGAATCTTATCTTGGTTTTGTCTGTGATAGTTCAGACGATTGGATTCAATTTTAACATACATGTCAACCATATATTGTTGGAAGAGTCTTTCCATTTGCAGAAGCATATTGGGAGAATTAGGGTGAATTTGAAGTCGATATACATAATATTGCATTGCAATTACGAATTTCCTATGTTTTATTGTGTTATCACTTTCCAATTCATCATTATTTCTATCATCTTTATTAGAACTTTTATCAATATTAACCAACTCATTGGTAAAAGGAATGTTTCTATATGGAATTTGGCGAGGAGCCCAGCTTTGTTCACTGTGAGGAAACAATAGCGGGTATGCCAGGGGATCATAGCACCTACTAAACTCGAAAATACAAACTAATTGATTCATATGGATGTGTAATATAATATCTCGTTTCTGAATGACGCCAGGGGGCACATCGTTATTAACCCAAATAGCTGCAACTTCAGATGATGATGGGGCATTATAAGTTCTTTGATCAAGCCCGGGAATATTGGTATGGATCAGCATAAATAAATTCCTGAAATTTTCAGTAGGTAAATATGAAATATATCGAAGATTGATAGCATATGGATTAACTTCATCAAGCATATCCTTTAAAGCTTGGATAGTAGATAGGTTAAGGTTAGAATTGGGAATAGTGTTGGCTTGATAATGCAGCTCATTTTGAATATCCCAGATATACATTTGCAAATAATGTGGCTCGGAGTCTGATTCTGGTAATAAGGATCCAATTCGATGGTAGAATGAACCTTGAACACGAAAGGTGTAGACATCTGATTATGAATTAGCAAGTTTACAATCAAACCTGGCACCAATGGAAGCGAAGGTGAATGCAGAATTATAAAGTCAAATTTTGCTACGAAAGTCTTTTGCATCATTATCCTGGCTAGAAAGTAAATGCTGCAAAAGCAATGGAATACCGGGCTTTGCTAATATTACTTTTCCATTGGAACAGCACATTCTGAGACTTTCTATAGGCAGTTTAAGAGCATTGCAATAGTTATATGTAACGCTGCTTGTAATGTCAATTTGGTGCAGAATTGGATAACTAATAAATTTTGCATTTTCTGAAAAGCCACAGGCAAAATTGTACAGTTGAGGGTTGTTGTTACGTTGTTGGCGGTGAGCCGCAGCATCTTGATAATTCCGATTGTCACATTGGTCTTCTGTTTCTTCAGCACGTCGTTGGCATTTAGTAATGGCATTCTTTTGTTGTCGATTCAGATGTTGCTCTTCTTGTTCCTCTACGTGATAGCGTCGATAGACATTAGCATCATGTTGGCGTTGTTGATTTCTTTGCTCATCAGTCTCTGCAGCTCTTTTTCTGTGTATTTGAGCAGTGTTAGCATCTCTTTGTTCTTGGCTTGTTGTATGTAACATGTTATAAGTACGACAAAGAAATTAAAATTTAGATGTGATAATTTATGTTGATTGATCTAATGTAACGTTGGTTCATTGAAATATATATGCAAAAAGCATACAATTCGTTTATGTGCAAAAATGTAAAAACTCTAACTTGAAATTACATTTATATTAATGATTTTTTTTTTTTAAAAAAAAAAAATGTGGATTGGCACACTTATATTAATGATTCTTTAACTAAGGTATAAAATATGATAGATTTTATTCTGTTATGTATAGTGATAGCACTATCATTTTCCACTATATTTTTAGATCTTACAATGGAACAGGCATATAATTAAGGCATAATTTGATCAAGAATTCTTGAATTTAAATGAATCTTTAATTAATGCAACTAGGATTAAGTATTTAAGAGATGTGTTTGTAGTTAATTTTATCATATTTAAGAGTATATAATTAATTTTTAACACTGTATTAAGTTAGATTACTAAGATATATGTTTATTTATTTATCTATTAGGTATAATTTTTTTATTGGTTATAATTTACAAATAGAAAAAAACATTTGGATCTATATATATATATATCTAAATTGTGCTTTTAATCAAGAGATTACATTAGGGAAATTCGAAATCTGATTATGATCGGTTGCAAGCATTTAATCGATTATGATCAATTGACTTCAAGCGATTATTGTCAGTGGGATGACAATAATCGATTTAAATCAAATTCGATTATAGTCAAGATACACAAATTAGTTAAAGGCGATTAAATTAAATTGATTGTGATCATATTATAATCAATTAATTATATATATCGATTATAATATGATCATAATATTTCTCGTATTTAATCCGTGGGGTGATAGTAATTGATTAAAATCATCAGATTTTAATCGATTACAATCAGGTTTCAAAGTTTCATGATATACAGTTTATTTTCATTATAGCAGACCCTTTAAAATAGTTCTCCCGTTATAGTGGGTAATTCTCTAAAACAATTTACTGCGCTTTTCAAATTATTGGGATCAGTGATTTTTATGCATCACCAAAAGTTAGAAATCTAAAATAAAATGCTAATATGTGATTAGTTAGAAATAATTTTTAGTCAATCATGTATTGGCATTTTTTTAGATTGCTAATTATGCATAGAATTTCTGATCACAGTAATTTGAAAAGAGCAGTAAAAGCTTCATTATATATTGTATAATGATATAGTGGATATTCATTATAATGAACAAATTTCCAACGTGATCAATCCGCTATAACAAAGTGAACTGTAGTATTTCTTTTTTTTTTATGTTTTTTTTTTTTTTTATGTAGCAGATTACTAATTAGATATAAGTACTGCCAAGAAAAAATCAGAACTCAGGCTTTCATTATATTTTGTACCGGACACAATTACTAATAAATCATGTTTCTTATACAAATATAATTTAAGCCCGTATTCTGGTTTTCCCTTGACAGTACTCATGTATGTTTTTAAGTTACAGGAGATTATTAATTAGATGTGCTTTAGGTAGATTTGGAATTCTGTGGATTCGGAAGCAATAACAAAAAAATGCTTGAGATTTCATTATTATTCAACTGTACAAAAAGTCAGCTTTTGTGTCAAATATCGGAAAAATGAAAAAGGCAAAGAATTTTTATTATTTGTTAGCAAGAGCATGGCAGAACTTCTTTTTAATTGGCTATCATGTCAGATGATCTTCATCAAATATGATTGGCTGATTAAGGCCGTTCTCAAACGCCTCCCTCAATGTAATTAGCTAGTGATTGAGGTGAATGCTCAAACGCTACAATCAATTAAAATAAAGATTGCGATCGGTGCTTAAGCTATCTCTTTCTTCGATTTCCATTATGGCTACAAAAAGGCGATTACTTAGTTATCTAAAAATTTAGCACCCAAGCCTTTGGTGTTGGAAATTTGCCTTCAGCCATCCTCTTAACAATTTCACAAATAACTTATCATTGCAAGTCATTATAGCAACAATCATATTCGACAACGCAACTTTATATAGATTCGTTAAACGAAGTGATATCAAAACATAGTGTAGCATGAACGTTATTCTAATAAAATATATACGACATATAAACAAAATAATTTTTATTCTTTGATCATTAAACGTCTTTTATTTGTTATAAGAGTAGAATAATTTTTGGTAGCAATGACATCTTGTTGAGGATTCATGTTACGAATAAAAAAATAACAATAAAATGATAATGTATTTGAACTTGAGTAATCTCTTCAATTACTCTGTCAATGATAAATTTTAACCAATCAGTGCAGCTCTATGAAAAAAATTGGTGGTTGCAGCTTCAGGTTTTTTTGACCGACCACGATTAATTTTTTCGGCGAATCAAAGCGTGGTAGGCGCTTGAGAATGACCTAAATATCGATAATGATACAGTACTTTCGATATATTGAAATCGGTATTCAATCTATGTTACGTAAACACATTAAAGGACATATTTAATAGCTCTTATCGTTATGGTTAAAAACTATAATATGTAATATGATTTCCTAGAATTATTGATCAGTAAAAACATTAAATACATTATTATCATCCAACGTTAGAATCTTTAATAGTAACAATGTATTTTACTCTTCATGAATGCAAATTTTTAAACATTAATACAAATATTATATATTCTATAGATTCTATTGTTACAGTTAAGGCCATACAAATTTAATAAATCGGTCTCACCCACGGATAGTAAATATACTTAAAAATTTTTTTTTAAGTTAAAATCTGACCCGGCCGGGTTATGAGAAACGATTTATTAAGATTATATGGTTTAATATAACCTGCACCTGTTTTTTTTTTACATTATATAGTACGTATTTTCATACATTCATATCCACAAATTATAGCTAACAAAGCCAATGCTTCTGATTGTATACATTTCTTATAACTATTATGAACAACCTAAACGATTATAAATAAGAGGTTTATAAGTACAGATAAATAAAATAAAATCAAAAATTGCAAATATTGTATTAGCTGTTTGGCAGTCATATAACTGTATGTTCACCCGTAGTATATTTGTATATATATTTATACATTCATACTCATGTCTTATAAACGTCTCACAGATCGTGAGATGCGTTAGATGTTTTTGAGCAAACCGTTGCATCATTTTTGAACATTCCAGAACAAAACGCACGTCTTGTAATACACATTAAAGCTAGTATCTGTACTGTTCAATTTTGCCCCTGCATTTTATACTAAATATAAAGGAAAAGTAAGTTTAACAGATACTGCATTGTTAGT